ATACATACATATATATATACAGTTTTGCTATCTACAAAGCAATCATACAGCAGTAAGAAGTCAACGAAATTGAACCAAGCTTCAGCCAAGACAGTATCTGAGATGATCCACCCACAACACAAGGTTAGTCTACAGTATTCAGTTGTGTGTTAATATGTACTGATGCTGAGCTTAATCTCCACATTAAGATCTTAAGTTAGCCGAGAGTGACTTAGCAAGTCCATGGGCTACAGTTGCATCATGAGGTTTTAAAAACTTACAGACGTACTGAATGTGAATAGTGCTAATAAAAATCACCACTGGTTATTTGGGGGAGGTGGGGGCTTGTTTCTACTAAATAAAACAAGACACAAAGCACTGCAACCTGCCTGTTCTTAAAGACAGCAGCCTCAATAAATACAGTATACTCCTGAACCTGAAGCATAAACAATACCTCATTACTTAACAAGCAAAACCTATCCACTAGGCTCTAGTTATTATGGCATAAGAGAGGTGGGCAATCTTCCCTGTGGGTCATATGAGAAACTGAGACTGTGGAGTGCTGCACCAAAAAGCTTATAAAAAGATAGAATTATCACTGGGTAAATGATTGATGATCCAGTTCCTAAGAAACACTAAAACTATGGCATGCTCTTTTGTTTTCATTTACAAGCTGAAATTTTTAAGTTTGTTTTCCTTTTCAGGAGAACATTGTTCACCTGATTGTTGCAAATTTATTTGGGATACACACTACTGCATCCAAAATAAAAAATAATCAACTCTGAATGATAAACCAAAAAGACACAGGAGTTACAACCGCTATATTGTGTGAAACGCCTTTTCGAGTACGTAAAACACTTTTTTACATTACATTATATTTTACATTAGGCGGCAGACAACATTTTTCCGGTTCAAGTACAGCCAGAAAAATTTCTATTACATTAAACGCAACATTTATTTAATCTACCAACTTTTCGACATCTTAACTTGGGCAATTTAAATACACTTTGTGATGGAAATTGTAACCCCCACCAGGGCAAAAACTCTTACCATATACAGTACTAACAGAACATATTTCCTAAGAACGGAGCTTACTGTGCGCACTTGAATGCAGCAGTAACTTGAGCTAAAATGAGCAAATGCTAGCAGGTTAGCTCAAGGAGTTCGGTTTCGGTTCACAAACTATCGGCATCGCGACAAAAACCAAGCAAGCGACTCGGTTTACTTCTATTATAAGTACAACAGGGTCATTCGTTGGAGAATAAAGACCAAAGGAAAACACTTTTACTGACTTCAAACGCCCAGAGTACATTGTTTCTTTCCAATTACCTTATCCAAAATGCATGGGTCACTAATTCCCAGACCAGTCTGGTTGGCTTTTCTTCTTCGTCGCACTCTAAAACGTGTTGGTATTATACGAGCATGCAATAGCGCCACCCGCGATGTTTCAGGCTAAACACATCGGTTAAAATTGGTTAAAAGATGACAGACCAAAGTGTTATAAAGAGTTATTAAAGGTTTTTTAATCGGGTTTCAAAATTTGTTGTCAGTTCAATTTTATTTTATTTAATTTTCAGTCTTTTTGCTTGTTACTCTAAAGTTTGTAGTGGTCACGCAAACAGAGGAGGAGGAGGATCTCAGAGTATGACGAGTGGTGAGGAGGATATGCAGCAGATTAGAGTGATATACAGGAATGAGATTATAGAGATACTTGAAAGTAAGAAGCAGAATCTTAACATTAATCCAATATTCTACAGAAAGCCAGTGAAGCTGTTTAAGTACTAGAGGAATATACTCTATAGAAAGTCTTCTGGTAATAACACAAACAGCTGCTGAATAGGAGTAAACTATAATGTATTTTCACAGTTGTAGTTTTTTGTTTGTAGTTTTGTTGCTTTAATCTTATCAGGGTAGTGGTTTAAATACCCGAGTTCAACTATGCAAAGCAATGGACAGTACACAAGAGAGACAAAGAACAGAGTGCAAATGAAGTTGAGTGGGTGGAGATGAGTGCAAGAGTGAAAGATAGTAGTGAACCTGTTATGACGTTTGGTCTAGAGACAGTGGCACTAAAAATACTGAAGGTGTAGGTAGCAGAGTTGAAGATAATGGAATTTTCATGAGTGTATCATGAGTGTTATTGGGTTTCAGCCCCTGTGAACTTGCTGAGGTGTTGTCCTGCTGCATAACCTAAATTTGAGCTTCAGAATACAAAGTGATGGTTGGTCTTTCTCCAAGACTTTTTGGCATAAAGCAGAATTCATAGTTCATCAATTACACAAGTTGTCAAGGTCCCAAAGCAGCAGAGCAGCCCCAGACCATCACACTACCACCACCATGTTTGACTGTTGGTATGATGTTCCTTAATGAAACACTGTCTTAGTTTTATTCGAGATATAACAGCACTCAAACTTCCAAAAAATTTCACTTTTTTCTCATCAGTCTGCAAAATTTTTTCACAAGCGTCTTGGGGATCATGAAGATGTTGTTTGGCAAATGTAACACAAAGCTGTGCGTTCTTTTTGGTTTGGCTTTCAGGGTTCTTTTGTGACCTCCTGGATGAGTCATTGATGTGTTCTTGGAGTAATTGTGGTATGCTGGCCACTCCTTCCCAGGAGTGGCAAGTCTCCATTTGTGAATAATCGTACACTACAGTCACAATGCCTTAGAAATGGCTTTGAATTTGTTTGATGATATGTAATATTTAAGTATGACAAATATGCAAAGTCATTTAAAAAATCAGGAAGTGGATTAAATACTTTTTCCACTGCACTGTATAAATTCTGATTCCAATTGCTGTACTATTTTTGGTCCTAAATCTGTTACCTGTGCAACAATAACATTGGAGTGAATCCAAACTAGTACAAATGGCAAATGTCAAGGTGGATTCATTAGTAAAGAGACATGCTGTGAGGTGTTTTTCAGTCCATAAAACAACTCACAAATATTGCATTTGTTGTGTTTCTATACCTATTTTGGGGTGTAAACAAAATCAACATGAACTTAAAAGCTGAAGAATCTGTTTTACAGTTAGGGGACTGCTGCTGATTATTAAGATAGCAGAATTAATGACCAAAAGTATTAATTACAAAATGCAAGACAGCAGTAATGCCAATGCAAAAAAACATTTTACAGATAGATGACAAGAAACTGTTCATAAACATAAAATGAGGTATAATGTATATAAAAAAAAAGACAACCCTTTAGTATTTTCTGCTTAAAATGATCATTTTCTATAATTATGACATCTGTTGGTGGAAAATAATCATTACAGCTCATCCAAGTCGCCGAGACTCAAGTTATTTGCCTGCTGTAATTTTGCTGGTGAAAAAAATGGAATGGTGAGCACAGCATCAAGCAGCACACAGTCTTGAGCTGAGAGTCTGTCATAACCTTAATATTAGTCCCTCTGTCCTAAGGCAAAGGACCGGAGTTTATATATAAAACAACAACAACAAAAAAAACTCACCGTAGTGGTCTTATCTCATTTTACCACTAGATGGGGCTATTGGTCTTTCAGAACTTGCCATTTAAGTTCGTCTGTTAGGCGATACCAAGCGTTTTCTGGCATTATTTTAATCCTTTCCTGTTATTAGTTAGTCACTGATGTCTTCTGATGTCTCAACTTCTCATAGATGAGAAGCTCCTCCCGTCTTCTCAAAGACATAGACTGAGTAAAAACATGGAAATAACTGATTAATAAAATGTGTTTATGTATTTCATCTAGCTATATGCAGCTGTACTGAAATCAATTCCAAAATAATGCAGCTCATTCTGGTGCATCTGTGGTTAATATAACTATTTGTCAGACATAGAAAATAATAATTAACATTATTATGGAAGCCTGCTTTTGTCACACAATATGCTTTAATCACTATTTGGTAAAAAAAAAACAAAACAAAACAAAAACCAAACAAACAGCACCTTACTGTAATCACATTACATTTTTCAGTAGTGCAGTAATGTAATGTGTTAATGTATTAACAACAACCCCAAACATGCTTTTTTCTTTTTGCACACTTGTTTTACAATCAACTGATTTCAGTTTGTGCACAAGAGGAGAAAAATGGTGAAATTGTCTTTAAGGAGTGGAAATCAGGAAATTACTTTTATGTTTATTGCACAAAAGGACAAGAGTGTGATTGAAGTAAAAACTGCATCCAGGACAGAAACAGCCCGCTACAATCAGCATGCTAACACAAAGATAGCGAAAAGAAACGGCACTAAGCATAAGTCCAAAACTGTACTGTTTGTATGAAATATATTTGAGACCTGAAAGGCCATTATCTGGTTTACTCTCATTAGTCTTGTGAATCAGACAATCAAACACTTTGTAGGTTGCAGCACATTGGCATAGGTCAGCTCAAGAGCTGCTGGTACATAGAAGATAAATGCTAAGCTAATTATTAACGGACCATTGCCACCAGTTTTCACAGTTCTTTGTCCAAAGCCCTATAATGTCACTTAAGTAGCAAACTTGAATGATAATCAAACTTATTCTCCATCCTGAAAGACTGAAACATAACTTAAAAGGTATTAATTTAACACACGGGGGGACTTTAGCCAAAAAGAGTTAGCTTAAGCAATATAAAAACATTAAAAAACATGCACTACTTAAAGATTTCCCAGACAAATTTATTTGTATTTATTATCCCTGTCTTTCATTTGCCATTTTAGTTCCATATGGAGTCAGCTGATATTATTTGTGATATTTTTATTTTCGCTAGATTTTTGTTGACTCTGTTACATTATAGAGTTGTTGCAGATTTGCCACACACCCATGATGTGAATCTCTCATTTCTCCCATTCCACCACATCCCAAAGGTGCTCTGCAGGATTGAGATCTGGTGACTGTGGAGGTCATTTAAGAACAATGTAGTCATTCTTATGTTCAAGAAATCAGTTTGAGAAGATTTGAACTTTGTGACACCGTGTATTATCCTACTGGAAGTAGCCATCAGAAGATGGGTACACTGTGGTCATAGAAGGATGAACATGGTAAGCAACAATACTCAAGTAGGCTGTGGCATTTAAATGAAATTCAAATGATACTAATGAAGGTCCCAAAGTGTGCCAAGAGAATATCCCCCACAACATTACACTACAACCAGCAACCTGAACCGTTGATGCAAGGGAGGATGGATCCATGCGTTCATTTTTTCAGCCTCCCTGGTACAAACAACCATTTCACATCCAATGTCACTTCAATCAACCCTTCATGTGATTGTCTGATTAGATTTTGCATTAATGAACAGTTAAACAGGTGCATGTATAACCTATAACATATATATAGCCTATAACATGTGATCAAAGGAGCTCTCCTTGCAGGTGAAAGAAACCATCTTTAAGCTGCGAAATCAGAAAAAAAAAAACATCTGAGAAATTGCTACATTAGTGGCAAAATATACAGTTTTGTACATCCTGAGAAAGAAAGAAAGCACTGGTGAACTCACCAACACAAAAAAGACTTGGACGTCCCAAAAGACAACAGTGGTGGATGATCCCAGAATCATTTCCATGGTGAAGTGAAACCCCTTCACAACAGCCAACCAAGTTAACAACACTCTCTAGCAGGAAGGCATATCGATATCCAAGTCTACCATAAAGAGACAACTGCAGGAAGTAGATACAAGGGTTCACTGCAAGGTGCAAGCTACTTATAAGCCTTAGAAATAGAAGGGTTTGATTGGAGTTTTCTAAAAAATAACATCTAAAAAAACCAGTTCTGGAAAAACTTTCTTTGGACAGATTAAACCACAACCAACCTCTACCAGAATGATCACAAGAAAAAAGTATGGAGAAGATGTGAAACAGTACATGATCCAAAGCCTCCTACATCATTTGTAAAAGATGGGGGAGGCAGTGTGATGGCTTGGGTGTGCATGGCTGCCAGTGGCACTGAGACACAAGTGTTAATTGATGATGTGACACAGGACACAGAACCGGCTGAATTAATTCTGAGGTGTTTAGACTTAAATACATTGTTTCATAATGGTTCATAATACAGATGGACAATGACCCAAAACATACTGTCAAAGTGAAACCCAGCATCTGGTGATGTCCATGAGTTCAAGACTATCCAATTTTTATCCAATCTTTTTGTTCAGTCCACTGAATTAAAGCTGAACGTCTGCACTTCAATGACATCTGAGGCTTTTCATTTAATTGTGGTGATGTACAGAATCAAAGTTAGAAAAAAGTTGTCTATGTCCAAATATTGTCTATGTCCTAAGTGTATATGACAGAGATTTGGTGCTGTAGTAAAACAAAGAAATATTTAACTACTCATCCACTGACACATTTTACAGTTGACCCAGCA